TGCAATATGGAATGCAAATAGGTCATTCTCTACCTCTACAAACTCATCTCAATATAACACAAATCATACTATACATGTACTTCTCTTTGATATTTCATCAAACAACTTATGTGCACAAAGCAACTCTAATTTGGCTACACTTCTATCTCTTTTCTAAGCCACCAAAAATCTGGTATAAATCTTCCATATTTAACGCCAAACCTGTCCAAAATGTATACTCCAAAATTTCTACCCATTCTTCCATTTCATCCAACTCTCATCAAACATAAAGTAACACAACACTACTTCTCATGGATAAATTCTAACCATCATTCAAATCCATTCCATCAACAATTCTTCATATATAGCATATACATGCATAGAAATTCTCTACAATTCATCCAAACTCTCTCCTTGTTCTTTAATGTTCTCATATATGTGTATGGGCATGGAAATATGCTCATTCTTTGCTATTCTTTCTAAATACAAATGTGAGAATGTGAGAATGCATTATAGCATATAAAGATATCATTAGGGAACTAGTATTCTCTACCAACAACATTCCCATACTTGAAATCAATCATAGATTATTAGACTAAAAAACTAATAATTGGAGGTACTTTTGAGATAGTCAGTCTACGCAGTTCATATTCAAGAAGCAATCTCGAGCTATACATGTCGATTGCTATGATCTTGGTCTCATTTTAAAGCTTAGAGAAGGGCTACAACTTTTATGTTTAAGTCTCAACCCATTTCGATGGGTAAGATGCTCAAACATCACTCATAAGGTCACATATTTGACAGGCAACCATGGTATATGTTTTCTCTTAGGATTTCATCAAACAATTCATATGCACATGCTACTACCATGTTGGGTACGCTTCCACAACTCTCTAATTCAACCAAATTATGAGCCAAAAACTCACTAAATTGAGTACAAACCTGCTAAATTTATCACTTCTCTACACTCCAAATCTCAACACAAAATCTTCCACAACTTCCCCAAATCATCACATAACCATACACTACTTCTCATGGCAAGAATTTATACATTAATAAACATAAAAAAACACCCATAATTCTCTCATACCATCACATACAAACATGCAAAAAAAATTCTTCAACAAGTCTTGCTCAAATTAAAGTTCAAATTAGGTTTACTTACCTTGAATTTGAGCAACTCCAACACTATACTCTCTCTGATAAATTCCCTCATTCTCAAACCCTTTGGATGCTTAGGTTGAAAATCTATCAAAAGTTAGCCAAAATCCTATGAATTATCTTGGAAATTTAATGAAGAAATTTGAGAGAATTTGGGTAGAGAATGACTTGAATGGGGTGAGTGGCTGGTTTCTCTTCTTCAACTCTTAATATCATAAAATAATATATTTAGATTCCCATTTTACCCTTGCACTTTTTATGAAATTCCATCTATGTCCCTTAGTCAATTACCAAAAATCCCTTTTTTTTAACTTCTCCATGTTATTCGATCTCTATTCACTCCCCTTTTTAAACTAATTATGAGTGAAAAGACCATTTACCCCTAATGAAGGTTTAAGGAATTTTCTTCACACTTGTTCAAGATAACTTTAATAAAATTCACTAAGGTATTAGGACATAAATAAGCTACGTACCTTGATGTGGGCGTTACACTATTCTCTAAATTACCTTATCATAATTGGGATCTGCAAAATGTAGCATACTCATCATCCTCACATCAACTAAATCAAAATACCCATTAATCATCCGCGAGTGACATGGAACCGAACACCTCTAACATAAACCTTTCCATTCTAACACTAAGGGAAGTTCGTGTAAAATTCCATTACCGATGATGCACATGCGGTGTGGCTGGGCTCCTGCAGAAATCAAGTCATCCTAAAGCCTCAGTCTATCACTAACCCCGGATAGTTTAAGGAATGAGTCCCTTTCTAATAAAGCCGTTGCTTCAAACATCTCCTCATATTTCTGCTTAGCCTTATCGTTCACAAAACGATCATCATTCATTTTCCCTTTTCCTTTACTACTTTCACCTCCTGTCTTTCTCTTCTTAGTTGATTGACGTTTCACTGAAGCCATCTCAACAATTTCAAAACAATTCGAAACCACACTTCACACCACTCCAATTTGGTTCCACACCAAACTACCCTAAAACACACTTCAATTACTCCCAATCAACCACAACACTTCACATTCCTCAATCAACACACAACACTTCAAAACACACAAAATCAATAACAATTAAATTAATTCCCCAAAAATTCTTCAATTTACACACCAAATTTCTCTCCACAGCTAAAGTTTCAATCACTTCCAAACGCACCAAAACAATAAACAATTGAAATACACCACCACCAAACTATATCCAACAATAAACAAGTCCTAATTATCTTCCAAATCCAACCACAATTTCAAAGAAAGCATAAAAATTCAATTTCAATTAATTTGAGCAATTTCTCCAAAAAAATGTCAATAATTAGCGATTTAATTTGAAAGAGAAATCTTATTACAACCAATCCTAGCTTACTTCACCTTTGATTGTTTGAAATTTCATCATGAATCACAAAATCCCCAAAGTTCTGAAAACTTAGGATTTTCAAAATTTTCTAAACCCTAAGTTTTCAAAATTTTCACCCAGATCAAAACAAAGGTTAAATGTGTTTAGAAGTGATTAGAGGGTGTTGTTTTGGTAAAAAAAATTGGCTAGAAAAGTTGAGTTGAGAGGGGGAGAAAAGGGTTTCATGAAAATGAAAGTGGCTACGTAACCCTTTTTATAGTTTCTAGTTTCGATGCGGCAAGAAAAAAATCTCGTCGTGGCGAATTTGAAAATTTGTTGATCTTGAACATTTTCCTAGTTTCATCATGGCAAGAAATTTTTTTCACCCCGACGAAATTGGAATTCCTTTTGGCTATTTTGGACAAAAGTATTATCACTAAGGCGAGAAAATATCTTTGCTACAACAAACTAGAATTTTCAAATTTCTCCTTCTTTTCAACTCATTTCTTGAAACCACAAATAAAACACAAATTATCAACCTGACAAACACTCAAAAACATAATCTAAAAGAAAAACCCCTAGGTTGCCTCCCAAGAAGCGAAAAGTTAAGAGTCAGTAGCTTGACTTTCCTTATGTCCTTTGTCAATTTGGATAATCCGGGCAAATCACAAATCAACCATTTTCCTTCACCCAAGGCTTCATTAAAAGACGCGTTTCTTCACATGGATCCTTTGGGGGATGCTTAGCTACCCATTGCCACTTCTTTGTCTCTCCCTTGGGGAATTGGTCTTTCACATACACTATTTTGAAATTTGCACCTCTCATTTGTAGGGTTGCGATGAGAATTCAACCAAATCAACTCATGATGAGATTTGTCCTCCATTATCAATTGCGAATTACTTGCAAGTGCGCCTAATTCACTTAAGTGCATTGCATCCACTTCCAACTTAGGATATTTATCCTCAATCTCCCTTGCATCCACAATGTCTACTTTAAAACAAGAATTCAACTCTAAAGGACTCTTCATATCCTAAAACATATTAAATATGACTTCTTCATCTTTCACTCTCATAATAAGCTGTCCTTGTTGAACATCAATCAACATCCTTCCGGTAGTAAGGAATGGTCTTCTTAAAATAAGAGGAATTTCCTTATCCTCTTCCATATCTAGCACTACAAAATTTGCAGGGAAGATAAACTTATCCACCTTTACCAAAACATTCTCAACAATACCCCATGGATATTTAATCGATCTATTCGCCAACTACAAACACATCATTGTAGGTTGTACCTCATTAATCCCAAGCTTCCTAAAAACAGAGAGAGGCATAAGATTAACACTTGCTCTTAAATCACACAAAACTTTATCAAATTGGGTACTTCGCTATAATGCAAGGAATAGTAAAACTCCATAGATCTTTGAGTTTTGGTGGCAATTTCTTTTGGAGTATCATGATGCATTCCTCCGTGAGCATCACTGTTTCATCTTTCTCCAGTTTCCTTCATGAATTTCACATAGCATGGGCTTTGCTACAATGCATTTGCAAAAGGAATATTTATATGAAGTTTCTTAAAAATATTTAGAAATTTAAGAAAAACTCTTATCCTGATTTTGTTTCTTCAACTTTTGTGGAAATGGAATTGATGGAGCATGATGGGTTGCTTCCGGTGGAATCTCAGAATGCAATCTGTTCCTTCTTTCTCAATTGTGCCCTCTCTTCATTTGCTTGTTTTGTGACTTTCTCTTCAACTCGAACCGCTTCTTTTTGTTGAGATTCACTCAAAATTGTGTCATTCCTCAAAGTTATCGCATTGATTTGTTCTTTTGGGTTTGTGACTGTTGTACTAGGCAATGAACCTTCAGATCGTTCCATCAGTGATTCCGACAATTGTACAACTTTAGTCTCCAAATTCTGAATAGACGCTCCTTCATTTCTAAAATTTGTCCTTGTCTCATTCATGAAGCTGGTAATTTCTTGCATAAACTTTCCAAACATCTTTCTTCACCGGTTGTTGAAATTGAGTTGCCGGTCTAGGTGCTCCTTGATTCCCCTAAGAAAGTTAGGGTGGTTTCTTGATCCTAGATTATATGTTTTGGAGTATCGGTTGTTTTGCAGCCTTTGTGAACTTCCCATGTAGTTCAATTGTTCATTTATCGATGAGGAGAAAGGATTTCCCACCTGGCATTCTACACTTGCATAGTTTTCTACACAAAATTCGCAAATTAGTTTAGGAGATTGAATTGAATTAACACTCATGCCTCCCAATTGCTTTTGAAGCGCTGAAATTTGAACGAAAAGTGTGGTGAAGGCATCAACTTCATGAAAACCCTGTACTCTTCTTAGGCATTACTCGATCAGTGGGTCTTTGATAATTGTTACTCACCAATACTTCAAGTAACTCATAAGTGGGTTATGGAGTTTTTTTTTTTTTTTTTAAAGCTCCTCCTAACATGTCATCCACCATAGTTTGAACATTAGATAGCAATCCATTGTAGAAGTTTTGCACTTGCATCCAAATAGGCAAACCGTGGTGTGGACACTTTCTCAATAACTCCTTGTATCTTTCCTATGCCTCATATAAGGATTCACTATCGCTCTGAATGAAGGATGTTATATCATCCCTCATCTTGGCCGACTTAGCTGGTAGAAAATACTTGGCAAGGAATTTTTGCGCTAGCTCATCCCATGTAGTGATAGTTCCCACTGATAGTGACATTAACCTTCCCTTACCTTTGTCCCTCAACGAAAATGGAAATAGTCTTAGTTAAATGGCATCATCCATCACTCTGTTGTGCTTGAATGTATCATAAATCTCCAAAAAGTTAGTTATGTGCAAATTAGGATCCTCACATGTATTACATCCAAACTAAATTGATTGCTAAATCATTTGACTGATCGCTGGCTTGATTTTAAAATTGTTGGCTTGAACTAGTGGTCTTATAGTGCTTGGACCACATCGATCAACTACTGGTATTGAAAATTCCTTCAAAGTTCTTTGGTTAGCCATAATCTTCAAAAACACCTAAAACACCCATCAACAAGAGGAAGAGTTTTACTGAGAGATCCAATCTTTCCAAGCACAATTAGGAACAAAAAAGAAGATAAAGGTAAAAAATGATCTTTGAATTCCTTTAGAAACAGATAGGTGATGCATTAGGCTTGGTCCATCTTCTTATGATGTTAAGTTGTTGTGGTTTTGTAATCTTTCATATAGTTTAAATCAAGAATATATTTCACTGTTATGAACTATCAAATGGCTTTGTTTCAATTTCGTTTTTTGATTACTTCTTTTTGGTGGGGTTGAATTGAGTTTATGTGAAATTGTTTGATTGTGGGTATGCTTCGAAGGTATTTAAATGTGAATTTCATTTAATGCCTTTAAATTCTTAAATGAGTTAGTTTCAATTTGGTTTTTTTATTGTCTATTTTGGTGATTGAGTTTTTCTGATTTGGGTTTGTTTGGATTGTTTAGATGGGAATTTTATTTGCCGGGCATGAAGTCAATTTTTTTTTTTTTTTTTCTGAAATGGGTGTTAGTGGTGGTTGAAATTATTAATGATTCATCTTCTTATGAATTGTGGCTTTTGCTTTAGTAGGTTTTGGTGATTGAAATGGGAGTTGGTTTAGGTTGAAGTTATAAATGATATGTCATTTTATGATTTAGGATCTATTTTGCTCGTAGGATGCTAGACTGGTTATTGATGCTTGTAAGCATGACTTATTATGTTTTGTAGAGGACAACTAGGAAATCTTAGTAACAGTAGATTAACCTTTGGAAATCTGTTTTCTATGGATTTGCTTAAGTTTTTGGCAATTTTCAAGTTCCACATTTTCAAACTTAATGAAAGAACTCAAAGATTTTTGATGGATTGAATTATCTAATGATGATTAATGAAAAGTAATCTCTTTAGTATGTTATTACTATTATAACTTAGTATGTTCTACTTAAATCTCCATTTGAACTGTATATTGTTAGCATTTCAATGCCCTCACTATTTCGTTTGTGTTGTGTTTTTCATTTTGTTGTTGAGGTCAAGTTGTTGGATATTAAGCAAATTAATGTTAGTCCTATATATTGTTATTGCTAATGTTGTATGACGTGATCTTTTTATTTTGAAATGCACTGTTCAAATTGTTTTCGAGTAATTGAATAATTCTTCATGCATGGATTAGGTGAAACATCTATGGCGCGTTTATCTCTAAGGCAAAAGATGCATTTGGTCACACTTTTGATTTTGCACTTGGACATGATGGAAAGCATGTTGACTGTGCTTCAACTTCTTGCTGTGGCTATCTACTTAAAATAGAAATAGAGATAGGCATTCTATAACAGGATGAATAAAGCAATAGATATAATATTAGGTCAATAAATTTACAAAACATGGTTTTTGAGAGTGATAGATAGTGTGTTGAGTATTGTAGAATGTGTAGGAGAGTCTTTCACAAGTTATGTGAGTTACTAAAAAATCATGGCAGGTTACATTCAATTGAATGCTATGTTGAGACTGCATACCATTTTACTAAAAAAACTAGAGTCGATACCAGAGGATTCAACTGAAGAAAGGTGGAAATGGTTCAAGGTACACATTTAAGACGTAGGGACTAAGATTTACATGTTGTTAGGTAACCAGATTATGCACATTACTGATTTTTATTCCCTATTTTTATCCTGTTAGAACTATTTGGGTGCATTAGATGGAACAAATTCAGGGTTCATGTCAACTCAGTTGATAAACCTAGGTATCGCACAAGAAAGAATGAAATTGCAATTAATGATCTTGGTGTTTGCACACCAAGCATGTGATTTATTTATTTCCTACCGGGGTGGGAAGGTTCAACTATAGATGGTAGAGTACCAAGGGATGCCACTAGTAGGAGAAATGGATTAAAGGTGCTCCCAGGTAAAACCTCAATCAAGTTGTGTTGTATATGTTAGGTTAGACTAAGACATTACATGTATATTTTGAGTCTAACATGTTAATTATTCATTATAGGGTTTTACTATTTATGTGATGATGGATACACCAATGGCAAAGGGTTCTTAGCACCATATAGAGGACAAAGATACCATTTGAATGACTGGAGGCAAGTTCATCAACTATCAACACCACAAGAATTTTTCAACATCAAACACTCTTAAGTAAGAAATTGTATTGAGAGATGTTTCGGCAACTCAAAGCCAGATGGGATATTTTGAGAGAAACATATTTTTACCCTATCAAAACCCAATGTAGAATAATTTCTGCTTGTTGCCTTTTACATAATTTCATTAGGACAGAAATGCCCATAGACCTTATTGAGAGTAAGGTTGGTGAAGTGGTCAATACCCAAGAGTAAGAGGATGCCAATGGTGAAGGAGACTTGTTATGTTTGGAATGCATGGAGAGATAATTTAGCTCAAGAAATGTTCAACAGTTGGATGGGTTCGTAACATGTGTAGTTTGGGATTAATATGTACTGTATGTAATTCTATGTTATTGTTCATGTATTGCGATGCAAAACAATTATTCAGTTTACTTTATTTGCGATTGGACTGTTGGATTTTTTATTGTACAACCTGATTGATGCATTATTCAAATGTCGTTGACGGATCTTTTATTGTACAACCTGTTTGATTGTTGGATTTTGAATTGGACTTCCTTAGTTTAAATTAAGTTTACATGGCATGCCTTATTTTTAATTGTACAACCTGTTTGATGCCTCATTTTTATTCGGACTTCTTTAGTATAAATTATTCTTATTTTCTTGCTATTTACCTGTTTCTTGTCTTATTTGCTATGCAAGTTGGTTATAGAACGAACATGTCACCATCACAACCCGACAGTGGCAATAAGAGTTTGACGACCCAACACAAGAGGAAAGGGCAAAGGGAAGACTTTCGGTGTTAAAAGACAGTGGACGAAGATAGAGGACACCCAACTAATTGAATGTCTGCTATAACTAAAGGATAATGTCCAATGTAGAGCAAATAATGGGACGTTTAGAGTTAGGTATCTTGCCCAATTGGAGAAGATGATGGAAAAAAGACTGCCCGGGCATAGGCTTAAAGCGATGCCACACATAGAATCGAGGGTCAAGGAAGAAGAAAAGTGTATAACTGTGTCGAAGGATGTACTCGACGACTAGGTTAGGGTAAGTGCTCTTCTTTCACATAACATCTATTTACATGTCTTGCTCATTTTATTAACCTATTTTAATTCTGTTTTTAATTTTGTAGAGCCATCTTAACGCCAAGAGCTTGCGACACAAACCATTTCCACACTATGACTCCTTAGTCATAGTGTTTGGAAAAGACAAAGCCACTGGCACGGTAGTTGAGATCGCAACCAATGCGGTTGGGGAACTTGACACAGTGAATGTCGGCAACAATGACGTAGAAATGGATGTTGATGTTGAGTTGGAGGGGCAAAGTAATGTCCCGGTGAAAGAAGATGTGGATGAGTCCACATGTCAGACAGGCACTAGTGGCCCCAGTAGAGAGGTCATCAACAGCAAGAAGAGGAAGGTAAGGGATGACAGTTTATTTGACTTGGTGGACCAAATTGGCAGGTTTATTAAAGCTTTTGAAGGAACCTGGGAAGAAATCAAAGAGATTGCCTTATTTTTCAAAAGAGAGGCTGAGGAGAAGGACATAATAAGGATGTTGTTTAATGCAATTGCTAAATTTGTTGGGTTCACAACCGATGAGATGCTTGAAATAGGAGAGGCAATATGCATGGAATTGCATAAGACAGAGTTCTCCTTCGGGTTGTTGATGGAGGTTAGGCGGGAGTATGTGAGGAAGCTACTTAGTGAAAGTAATGTGCATCGTCCCCCATTTGATCCTTAGTATATATTCATGCCTACATTTTTTCTATTCAGGAATGATGTGTAAATACAACAAACTGTGATGTCTTACATGATGTTATCCCTTGTTTGATTTTGCTATGTTAGTCAGTGAAAGACCATGGTATAGTTTGTTTTTTGTAAAAACCATGGATGTCTTTTTGTGGTTTGTTAGTGCATTGTGTCTGCATTTAACCATATGCCAGCAGGGATATTTTTTGCTATGTAATCACCTTGTCGTTGTAAAGAAATTGGAATGTTGTGCATAAATGGTTGTCTCTTTTGTTGCTTCTCTTATCTAGTTACTACATAATGTTGATATCGCATTGTCATTTTCTGCCACAGTTATGTTCATTGCAAGGTATAACTTAAATTATCATCATTTAATTCTCTAAGTTTTTAGATGTATGTCTCATTGATTTGCTCTGTTTTTTTTTTTTTTTTTAATTATTATTATTATTTTCAGAGGGAATGCCAGGATACCATTTTCAGCATGTAGTTCCTAGAGACCATGGAGGGCATGGAGAATCTAAAGTCAGCCACCTAGTGTGCAACGAGACCAAATCTCAAGGCTACGGTCTAGGTTTTAGAAATTTAGTTTTTGGGGGATATAACCATTCTTTAGATATTAATGAATTCACGTTGATTTATAGGTGACAAACCTCCACGACGGGCAAGTAAGCAAATTGCCAACAGTAGAGACCAAGGTATGTTGAGTAGCAGTATGTTTGACCGCCATTGGGGTAGGCTTTTCTTGTTAAAAAATTCAGTTCAATTGGATTCCTTTTATCAATAGTTCAGAAC